TTTTAATATTCTTGTAATTTTTATTTAAAATTTTTATTTTTTAATCTAATTTTATTTATTTATTTTTTATACAGCAGGTTCTTATTAGTTATCTATTTTATACATATTAGTGTATATATGTCAATCCCAATCTCCCGAAAAATCTAATATTAAATCATTGATTCTGTGAATATTTTCTTTCCCTTCTCTCAATGTCTGAGCAATTACATAGCCAAACCCACCAGCCAGCCCATGTCCAGTAGGAGACACCTTATTAGTCTGACGGTGCTGACCTCCTGTGCCCACATGGTAATTAATTCACTGAATGAACAAATGTTAGAAGCCATTAGTCCTCGCTGGGAGCCCTTAACTTATTTTTAAAAAGTACACTCTGCTTTTGCTCTTTTCTTCAGAAGTTTGTTGTTCCTTTAAGCACACTGTGTTCTCCAAAGTTCCCAGAGAATAAAGCATTAGCACCAAAAAAGTGAATGTATTTCCAGGGTAGCTATTGGACTTAGTGAAACTCTCACTACGTAAACTCATAACCACCTGAGGATGGAAAATGGAAGATGCCCCACTAGCAGCATGTCTGGGTTCCAGATGTAGTTCTTCAGAAGATCACCACTTCTTAGAATCTTCTTTCCTTGTAATCCCATAATTCCTTTTATCTAATGCTAAAATGGCACTGTGCAACTGCATTAAAAGTAACTGCAATAATATATACTAGTTGCCTGTTCATCATAAAAATACATTCTCTCTCCCTTCTGCTGCCTCCCATCTCTCCCTTTCATCCGTTTAGTAACTCAAACCCTTTAATCCATGCAGATAAATGCTTCTCTGTTCACAAATGACAAGATCTTCTAAGGCACTGTACACCACTCCTCCCCAGCAGCCTCCATTTGGGAAGTTAGAGTCTAACATAAAGTCCTACAGGCACTGCATCCCATGGAGAAATACCCCAAGTCAGTCTTGGTCGGGTCAGATGCAGAAGGAACTGTTCTAATGAAACTCTTTTAGAGAATAGATACTAATGTTGCCTGAAAACTGTGCCCCATCCACACTAACTCAACATCTGAATATACTTGTGCATTTCCTACTTGGGAATATTCCAGAAAATGTCCTGATGGTACTCAGGAGCACCATGATTCTCCAGCGTGGTGTGTTTGGAATCCCCCTTCTGTGAGATACCTGTTTCTAGGCATGACCATGCTGATGATGATGGTGATTGTGATGATGGTGATGATGGTGACGGTTATGACAATGATGATAGTGATGATGGTGATGTTGATGATGATAATGATGTTGGTGATGATGATGGTGATGCTTATGACGATGATTATGGTGATGATGATGATGGTGATGATGATGGTGATGGCGATGATGATCATCATGGTGACAATGATAGTGATCATGGTGATGGTGATGGTGGTGGTGGTGGTGATGATAATGGTGGTGATGGTGATGATGATGTTGGTGCTGCTGCTGATGATAGTGATGATGGTGGTGATGGTGATAATGGTGATGGTGGTGATGATGATAGTGATGATGCTGGTGATGATGGTCATGATGATGATTGATGGTGGTGATGATGGTGATGTTGATGATGATGATAGTGATGATGATGGTGATAATGATGATGGTGGTGATGATGGTGATGAGTTCTGGTTGATTTGTAGGTCCTTCTATATTCTGGACTTATGCCCTAATGGCGTTGCATTTGCTGCAACTATCTTCTGCTCTGTTCTTGCTTTTTCACTTCTTTAATGGTGTCTTTTGGTGAAGAGAAGTTTTTAATTTTAATACTATCCAATCAGTCTTTTCCTTTAGGACCGGGTATAGCATACTGGCTAGTAATCAAACCTGAGACATTTGTTGCCTGATTTTGAGAGTTTCAGAATAAGACCATGGAGCCTGAGGTCAGCCAGAGTCTGATTTTCTCCAAAGTCCTCACACAGAAAGGAGGGCAGGATGGTGCCAGCAGGGGCGGGAAGCCAGAGAGGGAGCATGCTGGCCTGAGAGTATAGGACAGAAAAGCATCTTCTGATGTGCAGAGATAATCAATTTGAATCTCAGCTTTGCAACTTACTGTTATTGTGAATAGGGTATTTTGTAACCTTGCCTGAGCCTCCATTTCCTTGAATAGAAAATACAGATAAAAATAAAGAAAATCATTCATTTTATGTCATCACATTTCTTAGCACATCATGCACAGGGTGGATGGGTTGGAAATGTACAAAGACAACGTGGATGATGAGAAAAAATTTAAAAACCGAAAGGAAGAATATAAAGGAACATAAGAGAAATTGTAATAAAGTTGACAGATTATTGAAGTATTTCTTCAGGTTAAAAATCATTCCCTTGAGCTCTTAGGTTACAACAATAACATCTTCATAGTATGAAGCTGTGCTAATGTATATCACAATAATAATCCCCACCACAACTCTGTTGAGGGGAGGACCGTTGACGCCACATTTTATTTGGTTTTATTTATTTTTGGCTGTGTTGGGTCTTCGTTGCCATGCGCAGGCTTTCTCTAGTTGCAGCGATCGGGGGCCACGCTTCATTGCGGTGCACGGGCTTCTCATTGTCATGGCTTCTCTTGTTGCAGCATGGGCTCTAGGCGCGCGGCCTTCAGTAGTTGTGGCGCACGGCTTAGTTGCTCTGCGGCATGTGGGATCTTCCTGGGCCAGGGATCGAACCCATGTCCCCTGCATTGGCAGGCAGATTCTTAACCACTGCGCCACCAGGGAAGCCTGATCACCATCATTTTTAAATAAAAATAGCATCTTTTCTATATTCCACTCCTTTGCACAATGAATGATGGTCCCTAAAGACAGGTTCATGTCTTGACCCCTGGAACCTGTGAATGTGGTCATATTGGAAATAGTCTTTGGCAGTGTGATTAAGTTAAGGACCTTGAGATGGTCATCTTGGATTATCTGAGTGGACTTTAGACACAGAGACAAGTAACCTTGTAAGAGACACAGGAAATACAGAGGAAAAGAGGAGAAGGTCATGTGAACACTGACCAAAGTCTGGAGGGGTGTGGCCATTGGCTGAGGAAAGCCTGGAGCTGGCAGAAGCTCCAAGAAGAAGGAGGGATCTTCTGCCTGAACATTCAGAAGGAGCGTGGCCCTGCCGACAGACACCTTGATTCTGAGCTTCTGACTCCAGAACTGAGAGAATAAATTTGTATCCTTTCAAGCTACCCAGTTTGTGACACTTTGTTATAGCATCCCTAGGAAATAAATAGCCCATCATTTGGTTGAACTGAGCTTCCGTGTGTGTGTGTGTGTGTGTGTGTGTGTGTGTGTGTGTGTGCGCGCGTGTGTGTGTATGTGTGTATATATATATATATATTTTATAGATAGATAGATAGATAGATAGATAGATAGATAGATAGATAGAATCAACATAAATGTTTTATTTCCCTGATGAAGAGATGACCTCAAAGAGCTCTCGGGCTTCCCTGGTGACGCAGTGGTTGAGAGTCCGCCTGCCGATGCAGGGGACACGGGTTCGTGCCCCGGTCCAGGAGGATCCCGCATGCCGCGGAGCGGCTGGGCCCGTGAGCCATGGCCACTGAGCCTGCGCGTCCGGAGCCTGTGCTCCGCAACGGGAGAGGCCACAACAGTGAGAGGCCCGCGTACGGCAAAAAAAAAAAAGAGCTCTCAAGGGCTTTACAAACAACATACGTCCTTGTAAAGGTTGCTAAAGAAGAAGCAGAAAGCAAACTCTGCCGAACACGCTGCTGGTTGGGAGGGATGCCAGCCCCCAGGAGGGCAGGACGTGGAGCTCCGGGCCCTGAAGCCAGATCCTGAGACAGAGGAGGGGCAGGGGGCCTCGTCCTTCAGCCTCCATCCTCCAGCCCTCTCCTCCGCAGCCTGCTGCTGTCAGTCTCTCGGAAATTCACTTTGATCCACCTGAGACTTTTGTTACCCGACCCTGCCTGGCTCGGGGGTCGTCCCCATGAGCGCGTGAAAGCTCTAGTTCCCCTCAGCTCTCGTGTCTTCTTTGGGGTTTCACTTAGTGTGTGCACACTGCCACTAGGTCATCTTTTCTGATGAACGTATGAAAGCAGAGAGGGTGGCTGTAAGGTTTCTGTTTAAAAAAAACACATTCCAAGAGTGAATTCATGTTTCTTTTAACAAAAGTATGTTGAACTGTTTCTGTAGGGAGGCACTTGCATACAGATACATACAAATAAGTGAGTCTGTTCTGACTTCAAGGACTTCACCATCGTAAAGGACCCGTTTTTCTCCGTGTCACAGTTAACTCCAAAGGGAAAGGTGACAAGAGGCTGTGGACAGGAAGCCAGGGTGACAGTCATTTCAGGGTGTAGATGCAAGAAAAGACCAAACCTGAAAAATGGTACACCTCTCCTCACTCCTGAGATAGGGAATTTTTTCCCCAGAGAGCAATTTATTGTCAACACATAATAATAAAAATGTTTATACACAAATACTTCACATGGAAAAATTCACAACAAGGTAAGAAGGAATAATCAGTTTAGTGATTAATTTCTTATTTCTCCAGGGCAAAACAAAAACAACAACAAAAAAAAAGAATTAGAATTTGAACCAAAGAATAAATCCACAGAAGTGTGAAATGGAAGTTACGAACTAAAAATACACATTTTTTCTCTTTCTCTTAGTCCTTTGGGGTAGCATTCTTGAACACCAAGCATAAGTGTTAAGATTCGTAGGGGAGGAAAGCAATCTTTTCCTTCTCCCCTTCTTCCAGGTTCTCCGCTGGGGCCCCAGTAATAAAGGACAGATAAACAAAAGAAAAACAGACAGAAGTTTATTAACACGTACATCTCATACATACATGGGAAACTCAGGGAAGAGTAACTCAAAGAGATGGCTTAGAATTTGGGGTTTAAATACCATCTTCAGCTAAAACAAAAGAAGAAGGTTCTTGGGGAGCCTGGTTCTGTGGTGATCAGAAAAAAGCACAGGAAACAAGGGTGAGGCTTTTTATGCAGATTTAAGCCATGATTGGAGTCTCATCTCTTCCAGGTACAGAGCGGGAGACACCTTTACAAATGAGGATTTCCTTTATGAATGTAAACTTCCCTTACAAAAGGTAAGTTCTACTGTTTTCAGAGCTTCTCCCATCAGACCCCAGTCAGCTGTTTCTCAAAATAATCCTTATGCCAAAGAGGCATATTTAGAGTGGCATACTCTGCTCTCCTACAACATATAACAATAAAGCTTAACACCTATATGTTATTTACTATTTGCTAAACATTTTCTTAAGTGTTTCACATATATTATCATCACCACAACATCTGAATCCTACTATTACCCACACTTTATCGAGGAGAAAACAGACCCAGAAATGACTTTGCCCAAGATAACAAAACTGGCTCAGGACAGCGACTCTGCTTTCTACCAGAGCCCATTCTGCATGATTGTTTCCTCAATGAGCTTCAGTAGACAGAAAATAAAAGGATAATAGCTTTGATAAATATATTCACTCAGCATTAACTAGGTACCTCTTGTGTGTCATGCTTTCTCCCAGATTCACAGCAGAGAACAAGTGAATACTGCATGGTCTTTGCCTTGGGAAAATTAATGCATAAAATAAGGACCTATCATAAATCTTTATATTCATCTTTAACAATGTAATGCATTCTTTTATTTCACTAGACTTAGGAGTCTAAGCAGAGACAGCGTGTCCAGCAAACTGATAGAATCACATAAGGCTTAAATGCACAAATATATAGGAAGAGAGACTGGAAAATTGCATAAAGTAGAATCTAATTTGGCAACCACCACTGTTTGCTTAGAAAGGAGAAATGAATATTTATCATATGCACCTAGGGTTCAGACACTTCACCTGCATAGAACATAGTTTCAGATCAGAATATAAACTCAAAAAAGTTTCCTAAATAGAAAATTGTAACTGACCCTCCAGCCAAGGCAGAGGGTCGGGAAAGGAAGGTCTTACTGACCAGGGTCTGATGGGTCAGCTGACAGTGAGGAAGAGAACAAGGATTCAGCCCCACAGCATAAGAATCTAGTACCTTTACTGAGGCAAATCCTGAGTAGCTCAGGAAAGCAAGACCCTGTGTAACAGGTTGGCAACCTGGTAATCAAGATATTCTAGGGCTTCCCTGGTGGTGCAGTGGTTGAGAGTCTGCCTGCCGATGCAGGGGACACGGGTTCGTGCCCCGGTCCGGGAAGATCCCACATGCCGCGGAGCGGCTGGGCCCGTGACCCATGGTCGCTGAGCCTGCACGTCCGGAGCCTGTGCTCCGCAACGGGAGAGGCCACAACAGTGAGAGGCTCGCGTACCGCAAAAAAAAAACAAAAAAAACAAAAGATATTCTGAGTTCTTCCTCGACAAACTGTGCGTCTTGACCCATGAATGGGTTTTGAAATCAATATAGTGTATTCTGATCATCGTTTGTTATATGTGACATAGATCAGAATGCAGAGGACTTTAAATAGCGAAGCTTGCTCTTGCTTTGGAATTTTTTTCCATTATGTAAACTCATACGTTGTGTACATGCTTATATGATTATGTTCATAATTTATATTATATACACACAGACACCTATACATATGTATATTCAAGTATTTGGGATCACAGTTAAGAATATATTTCATACTAAAGATCAGGGTTAAAAGAGTCGGCTTTGGAATTTTTTTTCATATGCTAAGGATATGGAATATGGTAAGCACAAGTAATAGGTAAAATTCAGAACACTGCAGGGTGAATTGTATGTACGTGGTTTTCTATACACTGAATTACTAGTGCTCTGTAATAAAATAAACAGACAACTGATAAACATCAACCTAGATCATCTCAAAATTTTATGCTGAGTAAAAGAAGCCAGACACAAGAGAAAACATACTGCATGATTCCATTTATATGAAATTCTAGAAAAAGCAAAGCTAATGTACAATATCACAAAGCAGATCCGTGGTTGCCTAAAGGCTAGGAGAAAAGGGCCCGAAGGTCACGATGGAAGCTTTCTGTTTTATATTTTCATTTGTGGTTATGTAATACTGGGTTGGCCAAAATGTTCCTTCGGTGTTTTTAAGTAAAAATAAAAGACACATTTTTCATTTTCACCAAGAACTTCATTGAACAATGTATTCACCCTTTTATTCCACTACCTTCTGCCATTTTTCAGGCAACTTCATAATTTCATCTTTTCAAAACTTTTTATCTTTTTGAGCAAAGAACTGTTCCGGTGCCTTTTACAGTCTTCCAGGGAATTGACATTTTTTTCCATTAAGACAATTTTGTAAAGACCTAAATAAATAGAAATCCAAAGGTGCAATGTCTGGTGAATACGGTGGATGAATCAGAGCTTCCCAGCCAAGCTGGAACAGGATTTGCTTGGTCATCACAGAAACATGCGGTCTTGCGTTATCCTGATGGAAGATGATGTGTTTTCTGCTGACTGATTCTGGATGCTTTTCGTCGAGTGCTGCTTTCAGTTGGTCTAATTGGGAGCAGTACTTGTTGGAATTAATCGTTTTGATTTACCAGAAGGAGCTCATAATAGAACTCCCTTCTAATCCCACCATATACACAACATTACCTTCTCTGGATGAAGACTGGCCTTTGGTGTGGTGGTGGTGGTTCATTTCGCTTGCCCCACGATCCCTTCTGTTCCACATTATCGCACAATATCCACTTTTCAGCACCCGTCACAATTTTTTTAAAAAACGGAACGTTTTTATTACATTTAAGTAGAGAATTGCGTGCGGAAATACGCTTAACTTATGTGGGACTCAAACATCAAAGCGATTAACATAACCAAGCTGGTGCAAATGACTTTCAACGCTTGATTTGGATATTTTAAGTATGTTGGCAGCCTCCCGCATGGTATAATGTTGACTGTTCTCAATTAATGTCCCGATTTGATTGCTATCAACTTCAAATGGTTTACCCAACCGTGGAGCATCATCCAGTGAGAAATCTCCAGCACGCAACTTCACAAACCACTTTTCACACCTTCGATCAGTCACGGCACTTTCTCCATACACCGCACAAATCTTTTTTTGCATTTCGGTTCCATTTTTACCTTTCTTGAGATAATACAGCATAATATGCTGGAAATGTTGCTCTTTTCTTTCATCTTCCATATTAAATGGCTACACAAAAATTCACCAATTTTGATGTCTTTTTTTAAATGCATGCTGATATGACAGCTGTCACATACAATCTAACAAAATTGTTTCAAATTAACTTAAAGACAACTGAGTGCTACTAGAGCCACCTTATGGAAAAAAACTGAACAAACATTTCAGCCAACCCAATGTTTGTTAAAAACTCATCCCACTCTACATTTAATATGAGTGCATTTAATTGTAAAATACACTCAATAAAGTTAATAAAAAAATAGTTACCACCATAAGTTTTGGCCTTTAAATGCATATCCAGTAACTAGAAGTTTCTCTTATTTTTTAAGCAACTCTGAGTAATCAGGCCAAAACACTGAAACCCTTTGAGTATGATTTTTTTAACGGTATTTTGAAAGTTATAAGCTAATCAGACCCAATTCTCTCTGTTGGTTCAAAGTTGCCCTTATGAGGCTCATTCTGCTTGTCACTCACCGTGAATGATTTGTTTACAGAAACTTTCCAGGCAGCCCTTCCGCCCCCTCCCACGCCTACCTGCTCATTAAGACGGAGCCCCGGGTGGGTCATGTCAGAGGGCCCTCCTCCCCGCATCCCAATTGCACTTAATACCAAGAGCAGATTTTGGAATCTTAGCTGCAGATTATTTCTTGCCTCATTTCCATGGCTGTGTGTACTCTGTTTGGATTTGGTGATACTGTTTTGGCTTATTTACTGTATGGATTTCTCTCTGCCCTCTGGTAACCCTGGAAGAAGGCACTGATGTATTGATCTAGCTAATCATGAAAATAAACCTCAGTCGACACCTCCAGAGGCTACACAAACCTTTACCAATCATCGCATAGACCAAGCCGCCGCCCCGCCGCCACCCTGCTCTTTGTGGATGTCTCCTGGGAACAGCAGACCACTGCTTCCCGTCCCTCTCCTGGTCTTGCCTTATTCCTCCTCTGACTCCAATTCCTTGGGTAACTCCGGAGGGAACGCCTCTGCTTTACCTTCTTCTCCAGATGAACACGTTTCAGCCTTCAGGGTCTACTTCTACTTTTCTGTTTTCCGAGTGCCAGAAAAAAGCACGAGGAACATAAAAGAAAGATGGAAAACAAGGAATCATGCAGTAGTCACTGTGTGTTTGACCATGGCCTGTTTTTGAGGGTGGATGGATGCTTTCTTTTGAAATAGGTGCCGTGGTGTCCCGTTGAGTGAACTTAGTGTATAATTCAGTCATGTCTCGTGCTAATAAGATGTTGCTTTTCATCACGGTGGAAATAAGAACATAAACATGTCAGTAAATTCCTCAAGTATTACAGTGCATCAGAAGAGGGTGATCCCTGGAAGTTACTATGCTACGTGAACACCTTTGAGAGACAGGTCAGGATGAATGGCCCTGAGACAGATGACAGACCTCCGTCTAATCTCGGACATGTAGAGCTGTTGCTCTTTGGTACCAAGAAATCTTTATGTTGCCTACCTGCAACAGGTGGCCTGTCAGCCTCAGTCCTCAGGGAGCCCGCGCTGCAGACTGTGTCACATCAGGTAGACACGCCCCCAGCTCTTTATCAGCAGAACTAAAATTAGACCCCAGGTCATCCTCTATCATACATTTGCTTCTCTGGTATGAATATTAACTATATAAAGCAATAGAGGGACTTCTTTTCATGGTTTAAGAATTTCTCATCAATATCTTTGAGAAGACCGTGCATGTCTTTTAAGTGGTATCAACCTTCTTCTTACACAGATAATTACAGAGGAGAAAGGGCAGCTATCGCTCTTTAATTACAGTGTTGCTAAGTACTCAATGCTTAATTATTCAGCTATTACAGTTTTAAAATTATGCTTCTAAAGTTGTTGTAACATAGTCATGAAAGTGGGAGTTGGAGCAATAATTTCAGTCTCACGATAGTTGTGGGGAGAGCTCTGCGAACACATGCACCTACAGAAATAAAGCATCCCTTGTGTTTAACATGGAACCTGGCAGGTGCCTACACT